GCACACTCACCGGACCTGGGCTAGGACTGGGTCTGGGGGCTCCTGGAACTCGGCAGAAAATCCTACTGGGCGGGCGGGGTGGGGGAGGCACTGCAGAGTGGTGGGGGGCGGCCCGAGGGGCTGGGAGAGGGTCCGGCCCACTCTGCGCCTGGGTTGGGTCTGGTCCCGCCGGCGCAGGGTAGCAGGAAACTCTCCGCACACTCACCGGACCTGGACTAGGACTGGGTCTCGATAAACTTGTTTAAATGACTGTACTTTGTATACTGTTAAGCCCATTGTAGGGTTTCATGCTTCTGTTCTCCAAGCTGAGTAAGAAAAATATTATGTGTAGTAGCATAATACTGTTCAACTTTCTGTTTTGCTTTTTCCTTTCAGTCTTCAAGCAATGACAATGAAAGAAGTGGGAGCAGCATCAGTAGCCCAGATAGGGCAAGTGGGCCAGAAAACAACTTAAACCAGATTATTGCTGAACTGAATCCAAATAACCCTCAGCGCTTATATGAGGAGTATGCATTGGGCCAACATCTGTACTCACACATCAACCAGATTTTGAAGGAGGCTCACTTCCACAGCCTCCAGCAACGTAGACAGAATCCAAGAACCTAGACATCTTCCCATATGATGCAGTAGGAACTGTTCAGACACAACTAAACCTTGTCTGTAAATGAAATTGCACACACAAAAACATACGTCTGTTGGCTCTCTTCTCTGTACTCTAGATAACAGATTGATGGGCAATTTTTGATTTGGAATTTCACTGCACCTAGTATAATTTCAAAGGGGCTTCAGTGAAATTTTTATGGGATTCTTTTCAAGTTGGGTGTCAAATTCATGCTGAGATAGTACTGTGGGAAATCCTCACTGATAAATTGAATCCATAGTGTATCCAATTCAGATTTATTTCCAAATTGTCAGAATCTCTACCTAAAAACAGTTTTTGTAAGTGTGGTTCCATATTCTTATAAGTTGAAAACCCTAGTAAAGAGTATGTCATTTTCATTTTATATTTAAAATATCCAAACAAGTGCAAAAAGGAACCCAAACTTTAATTTAGAATTTCGAAGTATGTATCACTTGGTTCACTCTTACACCAAAATGAATGGCCTTGCTGCTGCTATTTTAAAGAGAGATGCTCTACTGAAATTCCTTTGCACTTGTCATGGCCAGAATGAAACACAGGATGAAACCAAAAACCTTTCTTTAGTAATATTCTTAATTTTTCATTTTCCTAAGGAAAGCGTATCTAAGGTTCTTACATACTCAAGTACCCTCCATATTCTTAATCCTCTAGAATGTACACTTCAGTAGAAAATACTACACAATTCAGTTAGAAAAGTATTGTATAATAATGTTTTAGCCTAAACACAAACTTAGTACATTGGCAGGATTCCCTTCTCATTTATAATTTCTTCTACTACATCTACAGTTAATGTTGATAAAGTGGTAGCCACTTGAATTAATATCTTAAAGACAGAATTGTAAAAATGTCTATGACAACTGTACACTTCATGCTGTATGAGCTCTTTCAAAGGAATTGGGAGGGCCAAAAACCATCATCAAGATTTCAGAGATTTTCTGGGTATGGTGGCACATGTCTGTAATTCCAGCACTTAGGAGGCTGAGACAGGAGGATTGCATGGAGTTCAAGGCCAGCCTGGGCTACATAATGAGACTTTGCCTCAAAACAAACAAATTTTAGCAAACACACAAACAAACACAGAGATTTCAGGGATTAGAGCAGTTTACAAAAAATGAGCTGACGTACCAATAGAAGAAACAGCTGAACATATCCTGGTATTTAAATTGTGTTAAAATAAATGGGCCAGGGGCTGGGGAGATGGCTCAGTAGGATAAGCGCTTGACTGGCAAATGCAAGGATCTGAGTTCAATACCAGGTTCTGCCAAAATAAATATATAAATAAATAAATAAATAAATAGGCCAGCCAGATAGCTCAGTGGATTAAAGTGCCTGCTTAGGCAGACACAGGGGCCAGAGGGTTTGATCCCCAGCCTGCTGTGCTGATCCTGCGTTGAGACAGCTGATTGAGACTGGGCATGGTGGTGCACACTTGTAATCCCAGGGCGTGGGAGGCTGAAAAACAGGAAGGATCACTACAAGTCCTAATCTGTGTAGTGAGACCCTGTAGACTCTATACTAAATACATTTTTAAAAATTGGTACCATGACTTATAAATGTCTCTTCTTCCTCAGCCATGACCTTATTATGGGTATGATTTTTCAGATCAGATACATGTTGTGGAATTCTAGTGTTACAGTATGTTATGGCTTGTATCCAGATGCCCTGTGCCCCAAGACTAATGTGGTCATTCCTAGGGCTTTCTAGAGGTGGCTAGATCAATGTCGTGTGAGGCTGGAATCAAGGATGTGATGCTTGTATTGATTCATAGTGTGGTGCTAGGATTAAGGCTGCCCCATCCTGGCATGTGAGTGCTATCTGCCATAAGGACAGATCTCCTGTGTAGAACATAAGCAGCAGGAAGTGGGTGACTATTTGTTTCTTGCTGCTTTTTTTGTCACTAATCTCCTGCTGACTTGCCTTCTGTCTGCATGAACTTTTTCTTCTCTGTTATGATCACATGTCATACCACCCTGCCTTGGCGGCAGCTGATTATTGACTGAAACCACCACAAAATGTGAGCTATGATAAAAAATTTCCTCTATTCAATTTAGGGGTTGGGTATTTTTGTGTCAGAAATGAGAAAATAAACTAACACACTATGGAATATTTGCAGCATTACTGACCTCAAAGTTAGCAGTGGGCATGAGTCTATTTTATACCAATTAGATGTTTTCTACAAGAACATTTTTACCCTTGTAGCCAGAGTTTCCAAAGTTGGAAAAGCAGAAGATGTAAAATAAGACTTTTGAATGTTATTTTATTTTTTAAATTTTATTTTATTTTATTTTGAAGAGTAAAAACAGAAGCAAAAACAAATAGAAAAAAGACAGAGACAGGGTAGTATACAGCAATACATATATCACAGATTTTCAAGACAAGAATAGCTAATTAACAATGGTTGTCAAAATATCTATTTTAAATCTTCAAACCTGTTGATCAGATTAACAGATATACTTATGCAAGATTGTACATTAATGAATATTGATGCCTGCTTTCAAGAGATTTTATTTATTTATTTATTTATTTATTTATTTATTTATTTATTTATTTATTTTGAACTGGGTATTGAACTCAGGCCCTTGAGCTTACCAGGGAAACGCTTATTCCACTGAGCCATCTCCCTGGCCCCAAGAGATTTTATTTTTTACTTGCATTTATTTTAATTTATTTTAAAGAGAGTAAAATAATTGATAAGACATTAGAGATGGTACACGCATAGAAGTCCAAGATGAGAGGTATTCAACCATGGATTTTGTATTACACATAGCTCTCCTTGATGTAGTTGCTTACATCACAGATTTCAACATACAGAGTTAGTCAGCGTGAAAATTCACAACATTAACTGCTATTTTCAAAAAACTAATGGCAATTATTAGCACAATCATCTCAGTCATCCTGTATATATATTTGTATGCTTCCCTCTTCCTTTTTTTCCTATCTTTTCTCCTTTCTCTCATCTTCATTATTTAATCCTTAAATTCAGTTTCTTTACATTTTCCTATATCCATCATGCCTTTCAGGTTTTATTTAGTCTTTCAAGTTCTTACACTAGGGTGACAATACGATATTTATGTATGTGGGTCTCATTTATTTCACTTATGAGTATAGCCTCTATTTGCATCCACTTATTTATACAGGCTTCCAGTTTTTCTTTATTTATAGCTGAGTAGTTACTCCATTGTATAAAAATAATCACATCTTTTTCATCAGTTACTCACATTATGTGTATTTTGGTTGATTCCAAGATTTTTCTATGACACATTGTGCTTCTTTAAGCATGGGTGCACATATATCACTATGGTATGATATTTTTCAGTTCTTTGGAGAAAACACCCAGAATGGAAATAGCCCAACTGAATGAGATTTCCTGTCCTACCTTTTTGAGGAGTCTCCATACTGATTTCCATAGTGGTTGTACAAGTCTACTTTTCCAAAAGCAGTGGAGAAGAGTTTCTTTTTCCCTGAAGCCTCTCCAGCATTTGTTATTGGTTGATTTATTTATGATAAGCATTCTTTCTGGGATGAGATAGTATCTCAATGTTGTTTTGATTTGCATTTCTTGAATGGCAAGTTCTGTGGAACATTTTTTTCATGTATTTATTTTCCACTTTGCTTCTTCCTCTGATAAGTGTGTATTAATTTCAGAAGTCCATTATTGGACTGGTTTTTAAATTTTGGGGGCTGAATTTTTTTAGTTATTTATATAATTTAGAGAGAAGTCCTTTGTCTGAGTAATTGTTGGTTAAAAATTTTTCCCAATCTGTGGGTTGACTTTCATTCTGTTGTTGATTTCTTTTGACATGCAGAAACTTATCAATAAGATGAAATCCCAGTTGTGGATCCTTTGATATGTCTCCCCTGCATTTTGGTATGTCACATGAACAGTCTGCCTGTTCTCATGTCTTCAAGATTTTCACACACTATCTCTTCAAGGAGATTTATTGTTTGTCTTTGAATGTTTAGATCTTTAATCCACTTTGACTTTGGTTTAGTGCTTGGAGATAAACCCTGAAATAGTTTTAACTTTTGGCATGTGGAGAGCCAATTTTTCCAGGACAATTTGTTAAAGAGGCTATTCTTCTTCAGTAAAAATGTTTGATACTTTTGTTAAAGATGAAATGGCTAAGTATGTTTGTAATTGTAGTGTATTTTCTAATGTATTCCATTGGTCTTCAGGTCTCTTTTCTCCTTTCTTTCTTTCTTATTTTTTGTATTTTAAGGAAGGGTCTACAGGGTGTTCAGGGTCTCACTACTACATCAGACTCATAGTGATCCGCCTGTTTACAGCATCGCAAGAGCTGGGATTACAGGCTTGCACTGACACACCCAGTCTCGATAGCCATCTCAGTGTGTCCTTTGGGGGAGGGGCAACATGGCAGGCCCAGGGAACAAAACCCTGACCCTCGCCTGCATGCAGGAGTATTTTTTTTTGCTATTACCATGCTGATTTTATCACAGTAACTCTGTAGTATAATTTTAAGTCAAGCATTGTAATGCCTTCTGCCTTGCCTTTGGTGCCCAAGATTGCCTTTGCTATTCTAGGTCTTTTATGCTTCCAAGTGAATTTTAAAAATCTTTTCTTCCAATCTGTGGGTTATGTTGACTGCATTTTGATAGGAATTGGATTATATCTGTATAACAATTTTGGGAATATGGCCATTTTCACAAAGTTGGTTCTTTCTATTCAGGAGCAAGGAATATCTTTCCATTTTTGGAAATCTAATTCATTCCCTCCCCTTTTTTAAAGGGTTATTCTGTTCATTGTATAGATCTTTTACTTTTTGTTAGATTAATTTCTAAGGTTTTCATTTTGGGGGATTTTATTATGAAGGGTACTGTTTGTCTAATTTCTCTCTCAGTGAGTTTATTATCTCTATAGAGGAAAGGTATTAATTTTTGGTGTTGACTTCATATCCTGCTATGCTGCTGAATTTGTTTATTAATCCATGGAGCTTCTGCAGGAGTTTTATGGGTCTTCAAAGAAGAGTATCATGTCATCCGCAAATAATGATAGCTTAACTTCCTTTTACCTATACTTTTTCATTATATTTTTCTCTCTTATGTAATGTCTCTAG